ATATAATACTTGTGCTGCCTCCAAACTTCACAAAGCTGTTAATATGGATTAAATATTGCTTATAAAAATCTTAGCCTGTTTCCTAATAGCAGATGCTCAATACATTTAATACTGAGGTTCATCATTATGGAAAATGCATACTCTACTGCTTACAGTTTGAGGTTGCAGTGAAAGCCCATGCATGGGAATTTTTGATCCTAACATTACAAGTTCCTATTTTAAAGTAAATCCAGTGGAAATCTCTATGGATTGAGAAAGTCATTCCATATATGACCTCCAGCTTATATTTTCCTAAGGAAATGCACTTTTTTTTCTCTTTTATTTTTGGTTTTTGAGACAGAATCTCACTATGTAGTTGAGACTGACCTGGAACTTACTGTGTAGCCCAGGCTGTACTTGAACCTGCAGCAGTCCTCTTGCCTCAGCCTCCCAAGTGCTGGAATTTGGTTTGCACCACCATTCCTGGCTGTATTTCTTTTATTTTTGTACCAGAGATGGAACTCAGGACCTTGTGCTTGCAAGGCAGGTGGTGGCAACACTGGGCTAAATCCCCAGCCCAGGAAATGTACTTTTCAATGTTACTACTATAGAATAGCAAGGCTGTGAAAATAAATTTATTATGTAGAAATCTACATTTGTTGGGCCGGGGATTTAGCTCAGTGGTTTGGTGGCCTGCCTTGCAAGCACTAAGACCCGAGTTCAATCCCCAGTACCAAAAAAAAAAAAAAAAAAAAAAAAAAAAAAAAAAAAATCTACATTTGTTTTGATGGAATTTTTATCAATTACATTAAGGTTTGACTCTGGGAGGTTCAAGCCTTGTTACCAAAGGCTATGAAAAACTAGGTTCAAAGGAATTAATGAAATGCATGAGTATAAATTTTCTAGAATATTTTGTAAGGCTAGTATAAATTAGCCTAACTGGACCTCATACTGTGATCATCCCAACTTTTGGGAACAAACATAAAAAAAATTCATCATCTATACAAAGCAAAACTGCATATAAATGTGTACAGTAGTGCCTCAGTTCATGAATGCTTTCTTTAGTTCACAAACAGACACATTGGGCAAAATCTTGTTTTGGCAAATTTCCACGTGATGAACATGAACACAGCCATCATTCCCACACAAACATGAATGTGGCCATCTTCCAGAATCATGGAATGCATTAGGTTTGTGAACTAATATACCACTGTACAGCCATCTTTCATAAAAGACAGAATTCCCTAATAACTTTTCTATTTTTTTTTTTTTTGCAGTGTTTATAATCAGACTCAGGGCCTTATATGTGTCAGTCCCTACTAAGTTTTTAAAAAATCAGTATTTTTTAAGTTATCTTAATTGTGCAGTGCTTTACTTTGATTTCATTTAGCCCAAGTGATAGGCTGTTAATGAGAAAAGTAACCAGAGCTCAGGTCATATTTAAGAGAACAAG